GATATGTTGATGCAAAAATATATCCATCCTTCAAACCATATTATTTTTTTTATTTAGAGTAAATTGCAGAACTTTAAGCTAAGTCCTCATAAAAATCAAAATGCTTCTTTAGCCTCATGACAGAGCCTCGCTCACAAGGCCCTTCCTGCCTGGGATGCTCCTCCTCCTCTGCCTCAGGGAACACTTACCCCTCCTTCGAGCCTAGCTCTGGTGTTGGCTGCTCCTGTAATGTGCTCCTCCTCCCAGGCAGTTTGAGCACCTACCATACTCCTCTTCTACCTTACCTAACACTTAGCATACTTCGTCATAATTTTTATGTCTGCCAGGGCAGTCTAGGTGCTCCTTGAAGAAAGGGGCCATGTCACACTACTACTACTACTGTTATTATTATTAGTATTTTGCCTTATTATTTTTACAGCCTTGTTGCTGATCTTAGTGCCTGGCATATAGTGTGCAGCCAAATATTTTGTTTCATTGTGGTTTTCATTAGCTTTCTTTATATTACACATAATGAGAGAATATATCAAATGTCTGCATACAGTTTAAACAATGCTAAATTGAATACCGGTGTACCAACACCCATGAAAAAGAATATTGTGAAAGAAAACATCGCCACTACCTTTTATGTGCAAATTTTAACTGTAAATGTAAACTATCTTTTTGTTGTATTTTGCTTAATGGTCTGACTCTTTGAAGCCATTTTGAGTCTTGATTTGATCATGTCCAAAATAAATAATCCTCCAAGTTTATATCACCTGCAAATATGATAAGCTTTGCTTCTATATCCTCTTCTACTCCATTATTAAGAATGTTGACTCAGAAGACCAAGGATTAATCAAGACACCTTCTTACATGGTTTCAGTTATGTTGGATGTGGTCATTCAACCCAGTCACCTGACTGTGCTGTCATACAAGCCTCCTTTCAAGGAGAAATAAGGTTTACTTGGTATTTAACACAAAGATATGCTATTTATGTGTGACAGATTATTTAATCTTTCCAACATTCATATCATTCCTCCCATGTTGGAACTGAGGAAACTGAGGTCCAGATGATTGCCTCCATAAGCTCCCCTAGCGAGAATGGCAGTTGTGAATCGAGTCAAGATAGGACTCTGACTCATGCATGCTCTCTTCTTTGTCCTTCACACCTGTATCAGGAAAACTTGTCAAAGCCTTTTGGAAATGAAGTTTCCCTAACCTGCTTGTGTTCAAGGCCAGGTGTGTTCAGTTTGAGTGAGTCTGTGTTTCTAAAAGTTCTTGCTTTCTGCCCTTGAAAGGCAAATGAAGGGTTCAAATAGTAGCCTAAAAACACGGCCATATTTTGGCAGAGCCGCAAATAGAACCCAAAGAGTGTGATGCCTCTCTGCTTTGTGTTGTCATAACCTTGGACATGTTATGTAACACTCTGCTTCAGTCTGTACTTCTGTACAATAGGAATAGTGATGGAATCTTTCCTTAGGATTTTTATGAGGAGTAAGTGATTTAATTCCTGTAATGTGCTTATAATAAGGCCTTTAGTAAGTACCCAGTCAATCTTAGCTGCTGTCGTTGCCAGCAGCACCATTATTACTGGGAAGTCAGCATCCTATAAGGACACCTGTCGTCAGCAGAGGAAAATGAACTCTCTCCTTTTGGCTAAGAGAGCAGCCTCCAGGCCAAGTTAGCCATCAGCATGGAAATGGCTTTCACAAAAATATTTTTAAATATTTAGGTTTATTGCAAAGGATTAAAGCACACATAAATATACAAATGTGCTCTCTTTCTCTCTCCCTCAAAACAAACTATTACTTGGTTTCTCCAAGAGCACGGAGTTTAGGAGTGTTTGGAAGTGCTCTGGGAAGAAACACTGCTGTGTCTTCGTCTCCTTGCTTTACTCAGCATGTCTGATGAGAAGCATGTGCCATTCCAAATGTCTGAGCACAGACAGGAGTCAGCTCAAAACCTTCTCCCCAGATGGAGCCAGGCAGAGCCTCCACCTGACGTTTCTGAGCAGCAGAACCACAGTGTCTGACAAAGTTCTACTGCAGCTGACCCAGGAACATGCTGAAACTATGAGATTGGGTGGAGGAGCAATACATGACCTTTCTGAGCAATTTATCTATACAATTAGAAAAACATATATGGTTCAAGGCCAACATCTGTCTGGGTTCAAATCCCACCTCGGCCAGTTACTCATTGTGTGACTGTGGACAGCTTTTTCAGCCTCTCTGAGACTAACCTATCAAACGGGACTATGTGTTCTTGAAGAGAAGGGGTGCAGGACATAAAAAGAGACAAATTTATTTTGGTGGGTGTCCATCTACCTGTCCTTTCAGACCCTGGGTCCTAAGTGGTTGTGAATATAGACTGTCTTATTCACCCCAAAGCAGCCTAGGAAGTAGTTTTTAGTGTTGGCATATGATAAAATTTTCACTGGTGAAGATAAAGTGATAAAGCTGAAGCCCATTAAGTGTTCCTTCTGGCTGGAACACTTCATATCACACACACTGATACACAAATGCACACACACAGCCTCACACCTATCTCAATAATTTCTATATATGTTTTGCATCATCTTATAAAAGCCTTCCCTGACCCCTAGATTATGTACCTCACTTACATGCTCTTAGAGTGACCTTTGATTTTCCTTCATTTCCTTATCTCGGTTTGTAATCCCACGTTTGTGTGATGATTTTACCAATATCTGTCTCTGGGTGACCAACCAGTATCCCAGTTTGCCTAGGACTGAAGGGTTTTCCAGGGCACAGCACTTTCCCTGCTAAACCTCGGGGAATGCTGGCCAAACCTGAATGGTTTCCCACCCAGCCTGCCTCTGTCAGGCATGCAGGCTCCAGGAGGGCCTGGGACTTGCTCTTTGGTTTACCATTCATGCCCAGCACCTGGCACAGGTGCAGATCACTACAGGAGTTCGGGAAACGTCCTCTGAACGAGTAAGAAAAAGAGACTATGTCAGTGCAAGCTCAACTGTCTTTTCTTGTAGAAGCTGTTTTTTTCCCTGAGTTTATTTTTTCTGTTTGAGATATAACATGTCTCTTTTTTATATTTTTTTATATGACAGCATTTAAGGTTGACAGTGTGGCTGAGTTTCCTTGTCTTCCTTTACCACCTCACTGTTTGGGAGTTGGAAATCCTTCTTATTGAAGGGCTCATAGTTTAGTGAAAAGGGAACTGGAATAATTGAGGTCAAGACATTTAAAGAAGGTTTGTCCCTATGCTAAAATGCTGGACTATAAACTTTATGAGGGCAGAAATTATGCATATTTAGTTCATTTCTGTATCTCCAGGACCTGGCATGGGACTAAACATATAAGAAGGGCTGAATAAATATTTCTAGAATAAATGAGTGGCTGATTCTCTGTTCTCTGCCCAGCCTCAAGACATGCAGGAGTGGACCTGGTGTGCCTAATTCCCTTGATCTCCCACCCTCAAATGATACCTTTCCACAAACATAAACATGACTTCAGCGTCCATCCCTGTTGGATGGATGAGAAGCATGTGCCAATCCAGAGGAGTGAACACATGGTTTAGCCTTGTCTGTCCTGGCTTTTCTCTTCATATATTTTCCTAACACCTGAAAGGTTCCATGGGTGGCTACAAAAAGTGGCGGCGCCTTGACTATTCAGTGCACCTCACCTGTGCACCTCACCTGCATAGCGTTGTTCTAGCTCTTTTCTTTCTTTTTTTAAAAAATATTTTATTTATTTATTTTAGAGAGAGGGGAAGGGAGGGAGAGAGAGGGGAAGGGAGGGAAAAGAGAGGGAGAGAAACATCAGTGTGTGGTTGCCTCTCACTCACCCCTTACTGGGGACCTGTCTGCAACCCAAGCAAACGCCCTGACTGGCAATCGAACCTTCGAACTTTTAATTAGCAGGCTGTCATTAAGTCCACTGAGTTTCACCAGCCAGGGGTCCAACTCTTTTCTTGATCTGAAATGTCTATTCTATTTATCATGTGAAATCCTGTAAGTCTAAGCTTATGTCCCATTCTATAAGAAATCACCTCTGGATCATTTCCCTCCTCATTCCCCGTGTCCCCTCATGATATATGTTTGTCTCTACCATCCCATGGACCACACTGTATTCTATTTGTCTGTTTACTTGTGGAACTCCTTCAAGATGGGCAGCTTCTTGTAGACAAGAAAGAACTCTGATTCATTTCTGTGTCTCCAGCACCCAGGAGAGGGAGATGGCATCCTGTAGGGTGACTAATAAATGTAGGTAGAAGGAAGGGAATGTATCAGTTATCTATTAATTACCACAAAAATGCTAAGTAACAAACTAACACAACATCTTAGTGACATACAATAAGACGTGTTTTTGTTCACAAACCTATCAGATGGCTGGGCGATTCTGGTGATCTGGACTTGTTAGCCACTGGTCCACTAGGAGGATTTGCCAATCTTGTTTTTGCTCTCTCGTCATGTACATGAGCATCACCTGCAACGGCTGGGCTGACTCAGCTGTGTTGCATGATTTCTACCCAGCAGGCTTACCTGGGCGTGCTCTCATGGCAAAGGTAGAGAAGTAAGTGGGGGAGTAGGGAAGCACTCAGGCCTCGAGGATTAGGCCTGGAAAACTGGCACAGGGTCCCCTCTACTTCATCCTGTTGGCCAAAATAAATTACCAGGCTGGCCCAGATTCAAGATCCATGAGAGGAGCTGCACGGTCACATTGCAAAGGGGGCAGATTCATGGATGGGTAGAAAATGGGAACCATTTTTGCAATCTGTCTGCCATGGAGAGGGAGCCAGTGAAGAAATGTCTCATTAGTTTCTTTCCAAAATGATCTCCTTTGCTATCCTGGCATCTAAGTGAATTTATCAGAGAGATTTTCGGAGATGAAGCCATGCCCTTCCTTTGGAGGTAGTGACTTCCCCACTATAAGAGGTATTTAATAAGAAGCTAAATTCCATAGTCATAGAAACACCAAATGGGAAAGGGGGAAGGCTCCTTCTAGTCCTGAAGGTCAATATTTTCACGTATCTTGTCCTTTTCTTTCCAGATTAGCAAAGACCCGATTTTTGTACCAGGTGTCTGGGGCCCTTATTTCTCAGCCATGGTTCCTGGGTTCTGGCTAAATGAAGGTGGACAGAGTGTTACTGGGAAATTGGTAAGCTGACACTTTTTCATTATGGTCTTTAATGTTTTTATACCCGTGACTAGCTCATTTTGTCACAGTACCCATATACTGAGTATCTGGAAGTTTTGCTGAACCCTAAATGAGAAGAGTTAACTTTCTCTCAGTGTACAGTCTGACGTAGGGAGCATACACAGCACGTGCTTGCTGAGGAATCCATGTTGGTCTAGGCGATGATGACTAGCCCAGCTTCCCATCTCCTTCACACAACAGTCTGTTTTCTCATGGCAGCGAGAGTGATACTGTACTTTGTAAAAAGGACCATGCTACTCTCTAGCCCACATCCTTCAGTGGCTCCCCATTGCCCTTGGGGCATAATTCACATAGTTTCCTTTGTGCATCATTTTATTTGCAGTGTATCTGCTCCAGGTCCACACAGGTACTTGTCACCAAGGCTAGATCACCTTACTTAGAGCTTCCTCGGGTCTTCCATTATTCCACCCCTTTGTACCTTTGTATGGGCTGGTCTCCCTGCTCAGAGTTCTTTACCACCTCAATAATTTTGCTTGTCCTTTAAGACACACCTCTACTTCTTATCATATTCTGTTATTCTTATTGGTTTACCATTCTGTCTTTTCCAGAAATACGTGAGCTCCTTCAAAGCAGGGATGCTCCTCTTTGTATACAGCTCAGTTCTTAGAAGGTTCTTGCTAAAAATTTGCCAAATGCCTGCAGTTGTCTAACAGGAAAGACAGAAGGTCCATAAAAGTGAGCTGAGCACTGAGCCAGAGGTACAAGGCACAGAGTTGGCACAAAGGAAGGTTAAGAAACTCTTTTCAGGGAAGCAGGCATTTGTGCTGAGCCTTATAAGATAAATAAGAACAAATGAGACAAAGAAGGGTAGGAATACTCTTCTAGGCAAGAGAACTGACATAGGAACAAGAACATGGGAGGGAAAATAACAAGGCATATTTGAAGGTAATTGCAAAAAGTCCAAAATTTCAGTGGTGGCATTAACTTGTCTGAGAGTGAGTGACTTATAATGAGAGAGAGTTGGACAGGGACCATGTGATAAGAATCTCCTGTAAAGCTTGCTAAGGAATTGAACTTTATCTAGTAGATCTAAACCAAGGGGAAGCAGTGAAAGGTTTGGACAAGGGACAGGAGTGTTCAAATCTCAGTGTTAGAACTCTGGCTGGCAGCACTGAGGAAGAAGGCCCGAGCGCGTGTGGCTGGAGCTAGGGAGCCCAGAGTTAGCAGGTTAGGCCACAGACAAAAAGCCATGAGGGCTTGAATGGGGACAGTGGCAATGATGACTGAGAATTCGGGTCAGGAGATCATCTGGCTCCAGAGGGATTACATGTGGAAGACAAGAGAAAATGAGATTTAGACTCAATCACCCAACCTCACTGTTGTTATGTTATATTGAAATCACCTGTTTATGGTCTGATTTTCCCACCAGCTCTTTTAAATGTTCAGTCAAATTAAAAATGATCGGATCCAAAGCTGGATGGGGATGCAAATAACCATTAGTTTCCATTTTTTTAGTGTATTGCTATTTCATACTCAGCTGCCTCAAATTCTCTTTCAAAGTCAATGGAAGCATAGGTGGATGGCTGGCTTCAAAGAGCATGTTCTCTGCCCTCATTCTTGTGAAAGGCTACAGAGATGAATTAAATGAGTTCACTCCCATCAGTCCCTGGTTTTTAGGGGCTCATTGTCCGGTAAGGAAACTCTGTGAGTATAAAATAAATAACATCTGATTGGTCGTAATAACCAGTGCTAGGAATATCGGGAAGCAAGGCATCACTGTATACCTAAGCCACATTGAGACTGGGGCTTTATATTTTCCTATTTAAACTAGTACCATGTATTTATACAACTTCCAATTTAAACATCCATTCCATTTATGTGACACATTGAAAACCTATTGCTGAAATATGGCCCTTTTCAATCCACATCATGGTGTAAGCACCCTTAGCAGACTCAGACCCAGAACTCATAGATGATACAACCTGGAGGGTTTGTTTTTTTTTTTAACCGAGGATAATGATCCAGTAAAACAAGTCTTTGTGCTGCATGCATTGTCCATGAAGCTGCCCATCAACAGGTTTTTGTGGACTTAGTATGCAAATTGAACAAATATTTGTGTCAGTCTGGGAATGCTTTTCTCAGTGTTTGGCTCAAAGTTTGCTCTGTTGCTGTTTATAAGCCATCTTTGCCCAAAAGTTATGGTGTTGTAGGGAAGAGTTGGTTACTCTTTTTACCATTAAAAAAATGAACAACCCACCCTCCATAATAGTCCAACATGATTTTTCATAGGAGTCATTGCCATTGTTGGCCTTTATCTAGTTAGTTGACTGTACACCATCAACCAATCAAGCTGCATTTGGAGTTCCGCTTTGGGCAGTTCTACATACAGAGTTTCCTAGAACACGAGAGCGAAATCTTAGGAAATCTACAAGCTAGGATAATGGGGCAAAATTTGAACCAAGCACTAAACAGACTGTCCACTAAAGCATCAGACCAGAGAGGCCAAGCAAAGAGGCAGAAACCACCTGTCAATCAAAGAGATAAAATATGAATAACAGTAATGGTGGTGGTAATAATAACAACAGCAATGCACCTTATTGAGTATGTTATTCATCTACAGGAAGGATTTTTATATGTGATCCTTGTTAATCCTTGAATGATATTCATAATAATCACAATATCTAATATTTATTTTGAAGGCTTATTTCCCAGACTTCGTTCCAAGAGTTATTACGTGCTATCTCATTTAATGCTCTCAAAACCTCTGAGGTAGGAACAGTTATTGTCCATATTTTACATAGGAGGTGCTAAAACTCAGAGTAGTGAGCACAGCCAGGAGAGATTACAGGTGCTCTAGCAACGGCCTTTCCATGGTTCCCTCGCAGTTCACCTTTCCTTATTCTCATTTATTCTTTTGTGAACTCTGAGCCCCTGTTTTACAGCACACTGTCGTTATACAGGACACTATAAGGGGAAGTGACCTCTTTCATCTTTTGTTTTATGTGCACATCATCTCTCACATGCCATGTCTGAAAGTGTCTGTTTCATTATTACATTGTCCACAGTATATTCTAAACATGCAATCATAAATACCCCATCTGAAGCAGAAGACAGGGGAAAGGAGAGGGAAAGAGAAGCAAAGGAAGGAAAAGAAGAAAGTTTAGAAAAATATGATCTAAACTCTACATTTGAAAAATAGATATTTTGTCTCATTTTTACAATTAAATACAGATCTTCCATCACAAAGTAAGCTCTGCATTCCAAGCATGTGGCTAGATTGGTACTTTTAAAAAAAGTCCATCTGGTTAGTTTCAGGATGAAGAAAAAATAGGATAGGATCTTTTCTGGCTCTGGAACCCTTGCTGTTTCATCTGACTGAGATGTGGACTCATTTTTCATTTGTTTCCAGCTTTTGCCTGTAATATTTATTTCCTCTTAGAAAAGCACATACCCATACCCTGTGGATGATTGATATCAGTTGCATTAGTCAAGCACCCATAGAGGATTGGAGGATTGTCTCGTGCCTCTCAATACTCACTCCAGAGCAGTTGTGCAAAACACATTCCATTTAACCCAGACTTTTTCCACAGAACAGCAGCCTGTGCAGTCACTGCATCCAGACGCTGAAGAGTATTTCCAACTGGACCTTGGCCTTCCCTCTCTCCAAGCACCCTGTTCTGGCTTATGTGAAGTCACTTTTATTGTGGCAGGTGTTGTGGAAAGCAGGCTAAGACAAGTTTCTAAGGCAGCCCTGTGGTGGCATTGCTTTTCTGGGATAATCACTTTGGGTGGGGGGTTACCTTGAATTGTTTGAACCCAGAATTTAAATTCATGAACTTGAGCCACAGGGTCACAATGTAGCAAAGTGCTTTGTGCTCTGGGGATTTTAGGGTTTGTGCATTGTGAGTGCTTATCTGCCTTCTCCCTTGTTGCCTATGCCCATCAGCCTGGGGCTAGCCTCAGAAAGACAGTCAGCCTCTGTGTGAAGAGCTTGCAGTATACATAGTACTGTACAGGTTATGAAGAGAGTGACTTCCTTCCTCCCACCCCTCCTTCCTCCCTCCCTCCCTCCCTCTCTCCCTCCCTCCCTCCCTCTCTCCCTCCCTCCCTTCCATCCCTCTTGATGATTCTGGGCCAGGCAAGAGTATTATCATGTGATTCCTGTCTTCTAGTAGCCTGTTATCTTATAGGAAAGTTGGATATAGAATGGGTAATTATAATTTATCATGGCACATAATTGTAGATGGCACTGCCCCTGCAGCCTACCAGGACTATCTGTTAAGTGCCAAGAGCCTTAAGGCCCCATTGAGGTACAGTATTTCATCTGATCTTCACGGCATGGCTTTGTGGTCATTGTTATAATGTCAATTTCACTACTGAATAAATGGAGCAGAATAAACAGAACAGTAAGATAACTTGAGTAAGGTCTTTTAGTTTTAAGTGGGAAAACCTAGATTCAAACCCAAATCATCTCCCAGAAGTTCCAGATCTTTCCAGAACTGAATCTGACTTTTGTGTTTCTGCATTTCTAGGTGTTTCTTATCATTCTCTTGTAGATTCCCTTGAGAATCAATTATTGTTCATTAGTGTGACTTTCTTTTCAGGTATTTCGAAGCAAATGCATTTGGCAGGCTTTGTAAAGCTGTGAGGGGAATGTGTATGTGTCGATATTGACAGGACTATGGATAGACATAGCTGCGTCCCCGCATTTCACATTAGCTAATTGGAATGACTTCGTGGATACAAAGACCAGCTCTGCATAAAACAGATGCCTCCATGTTCTCCCCTCCTGCCCAGGGGTTCACTATTTTTCTGTATAACCACCTGGATTCCTGCACAGCTTATTACCTTCGTGCTTCTACTCTTTTCCCCTCTAACTCCTATGTCTTAGTCAGTTGGGGCTGCTCTAACAAGGTACCATTGACGAGGTGGCTTAAATACAACAGAAGTTTATTTCCCAGTTCTAAAGGTTCTAAAGGATGGATGTCTAGATCAGGGTG